CATTACCTGGCTAGGTAACATCTTCAGTGCTAGAAAGGAGTGGGGTTTGTTCTCTGTTTATATACAGTAGCTTGCCCTGCCAGTGTTGGTGGGGATGGGGTTTTTTCCCCTCCTTGGTAGTTCCTTGATTAGGGTATTGTTTACTTCTTGATTGTTTGTCTGGTGTTAATCTTGGTGTTAATCTCTGCTTATCTGGGTGATGATTGCTGGCGAGGAGATGTTCTGGCCTTTTGTTTTCCTTTTTATTGTCTCTTTTGAATGGTGTGTAAATGTTGTTTATCACTATGTGCCTGTTGATGGCTGACTTGTCTGAATACCAAACTTCCAGGAATTCCCTTGCATTTTTGGATTTAGCTGGGTCTAGGATACCGACAGTTTCCCGGTTGAAACTATGGTTGAATCTGTCCATGTGTTGTGAGATTAAGGGGTTTTCATCATGTCTTCTGACTGCTAGTTGGTGTACTCTGCTAGCCTTCTGTCTATCTGTCCTATGTAGTGCTTGTTACAGTCCCGACACTGTATGTTGTAGATGACTCCTCTTTTTTCTTCTTGGGCTACTGGGTCTTTTGGTTTGCTTAAGATGTTTTGGAGGACTTTAGTTGGTTTGTGTGCTACAGAGATGCCATGTGGTTGTAACAGTCTGTTGGTTGTTTCTGGGGCAAAAGTCCCACACTGCTTCCTGGACTTGCTTCAATGGGGTGTGTTGACTGAATCACTCCCCTGAAATCTTCCACTAAGGTAAAACTAAAGGACATAGGAAGGCACTCTTTGCAAGAGATTTTTGCAGGGGTAGACCAGCAGGAAAGCTACAGAGGGATGGGAAGATGTGTCACAGAAAGTAACAATACCAGGAGTCATATTTTTAACCATTTCCAATAATAAAGTATGCTCAAAATGCTACCAGAGAAATTCACAAGTAATTGTTAAGGAAATTTGCAGACAGGGTGACAGGCAACAATTCTCACTGACTGATTATATGCCATCAAGTCATTGTCAATTCTTCATAGATGGATTTTCTCCATGGTGATCTATCCCTAATCTGGTCTTTCAGGTCTGCCAACAGTGCCTCCCTCACCACTGTAACTGAGTCCATCCACCCTGCTGCTGGTCGTCCTCTTCTTCTGTTTCCTTCCATTTTTCCCAGCATTAAAGCCTTCTCCAGAGAGCTGGGTCTTCACATAATGTGTCTAAAGTAGGATAATTTGAGCATGGTCATTTGTACCTCGAGTGAGAACTCTGAGTTGATTTGTTCGATGAACCATTACTTTAAATTCCAGAACTGGGAGAAGTGTAGCACAGGGATCTTTATTACACCTTCTCCCTGCTGCATGCTTATACAGGTTTTTATACATTTCTTGTATACAGGTAAACTTTAAATCAATAGGACAATGCAAGCAAAGGAAATTGTAGAAAAAATGGCAAAGGGAATATCCTGAGGAACTTCAGTGGCTGACAACAGGTTGAGCTATTAATGGCAATGGAGGAGATGCCTAGATACAGTACTTATTGAAATAAGGGTACTTAACAAAAGTCTTGGGGAAGAATTTTAAAGAATGTATGCTTGTGATCAAGTAAAGGTCAGTCTTAGCTGAGACCCATCTGAGAGATTTAATCTCTTCATTGATAGGAGGAAGATCCAGTAATGCTGAGGATGCATTAGAATAAGAATGGAAAAGCAGGAGGGAGATTCAAGAAGGAAACAAAATACGGAGCTTGACTTGTCCTTTTCTAAAACCCAAGATGGCCATAAGTAAAGCAAGGGGAAATGATAAGAAGCTTTTCTTCTTAAAGCTACCGTAGCATAAAAGTAACAAAATTAATAGAGAAAAGATATTGGAATATAACATTTCCATAATAAAATTCTTAAGTGCCCAGGAGGCTAAGATACAAAAACCAAAAGCTCTTTTGAAAGGGAAGCCACTTTTGAGAAAATGCAGTGCAGAATATCTTTTCCCAGAAGTGTGAAATAGCTGCTTGGGAAGGGTGACTTTGCACCAAAGATGAACCAGAAGATTTGAGTAGGCTCTACTGCTTTAAAAAAAAAAGAGTAAGGGAGAAAGCTGCAAAGGAAAGACTCCACAATTCATTACAACTTAAACTGAGTTTTTGTATTCAAGCTGTTGAGTGCTTCGATCATCTGGCCTCTCTAAACAAAACAATTCAATAATTAGGGCAAATGTTTAATCAGCTTCTCAAAAAGAGATAGTGCTCTGACACAGTCATTAAGTGCTATGACAAGGATCTGGAAAGACTCTGAAAAATGAGTTTAATCGGTCCCACCAAAATAGCTGGAAAAATACCCCTGGGATTTTTCACCTGTTGAATGTTGAAACTAAGTGATCACCTGAAAATATTTCTTCCTTCCTTGGACATTCCTATATAATGACTTTCCCCAGAATGGTCATTCTTCCTCTGCTGTAGTGTGAAATATTGGACATCAGAGATGTCTTTGGTTACAAATTCCTGGAAATGTATCCTTGGCTGTCCTTAATCGATCACCCTAATTAAAAATCTTGCAATCATTTCCAAGGACAGGAATAAACTGATCCTCCTAGCTAGAGAAAGACCCGTGAATCTTTTATACCAGCCTTACCCAATTTGGCATCTTCTGGATTTATGAGATTCGTTGCTGCAGAAAATGGTGGGCACTGTAATCTACTGTAATGGTGTGTGGGATTGGCCTGCAAGACAGGGTGAAGAGACAGAGCCAAGAGAATAGCCAGATAAAAGGCAGCTGAGCCCCCAGCAGGAATGTGGGCAGGGCAAGTGGCTCAGAAGAGACCCTCCCTAGTTTCTTGGTTTGTAAAGGGGACGGGGCGGGAAGGAGAGATGTACTTTCAGATTTGCAAGATTCTGTTAATGTAACCTGACAATAAAGTAGAATTTGGCCATGTTTCCTGTCTGGTCTACCTTGCAAGGCTGACATCAATCTTGCAAGCCTCAAAGTATATCTCTCCCCCCCCCCCCCCCCCACTTTACACACTATCAGAATAGAGAGAGAGGAACTCTGTCAGGCTTCCAAGATTCTGTTATTATACCCTGTAACAATAAAGTAGAGTTCCAGTAGTCCTTGTGGGATCTGTTTCCTGACCTGGCCGACCTTGAAGGGCTGACAAATACATCCTCAACATTACTGGAGCCTTCCACCACCATTTAAGAGATATGTAAGTGATGAAATCAGTCCAACAGAACTCAATTAAGCAGGATTTTTACAAGCATGCATTGTTTCAATATCTTCTTATTTATACTTCTCAAAACTTGTGAAATTTCTGTAACTCAATAACGACTATGAATTGTCAAGTCTAGCACTGTGCTTAATTGCTGCTAATTGTTCGATCTCCTGACCATTAAAACCCACCAAAATATTCCCTCTGCTACTGCTTAAATTTCTTCTGGGTTTGCATTGTTGACTTTAAGGCTTGCCTATATACAAGCAATGTATTTAAAACTTCTATTAAAATGTGGTGAAGAATAAGACTTGAATCAAAATGCTATAAAGAGGAGAAAGGGTATAACAAGGCAAGAGAGATGGGGCCATGTTTTGCTTCTTCCAATTCCCAAATTTTAAAATAAAAGTGCCATTGTCATTTGCCTTGTCTGCATGTATTGCCCACAAAAATAAAGGCTATCTTGTTTCTTGGCCCTGGAGTTGCAGGGGAACATGGGTCACTGGGGAAGCAATGAAACTTTACTGGTTGGTTATTTTATAAAGACTGGAAATTACTTGGTTCCTGAGGAAGTAATTGCATCTCACAAATGCTTGCAGACTGAATTGCTTTTTAGCTCCAGTGAACCCCAGCACGCTAGCAGGATAAAAATCATTTAGGAGCACAGTTTGTCTTGCTTGCCAGCAATGAACATAAGGAAGGAGGAAGATTTAGTACTCCTAACATCGGTGAGTAGCCAAGCTGGGATTCAGCCTGTTGATTGCTATGCCCTTCTACTAAATGTTTCAGCAGACACTTTGGCCACAAAGGCGATCATTCCCAAACAAGCTGAGGCCCGTAGCTGAAATTGTTG